ACATTGAAGTAGAACGTCAGGTATAGACTGGTCAGGTTACGTTGAAGTAGAACGTCAGATAGAGACTGGGCAGGTTACGTTGAAGTAGAACGTCAGGTATAGACTGGTCAGGTTACGTTGAAGTAGAACGTCAAGTAGACACTTGTCAGCTTACGTTGAAGTAGAACGTCAGATACAGACTGAGCAGGTTACATTGAAGTAGAACGTCAGGTATAGACTGGTCAGGTTACGTTGAAGCAGAACGTCAGATAGAGACTGGGCAGGTTACGTTGAAGTAGAACGTCAGATAGAGACTGGGCAGGTTACATTGAAGTAGAACGTCAGGTATAGACTGGTCAGGTTACGTTGAAGTGGAACGTCAGGTAGACACTGGTCAGGTTACGTTGAAGTAGAACGTCAAGTAGACACTTGTCAGCTAACGTTGAAATAGAACGTCAGATAGAGACTGGGCAGGTTACGTTGAAGTAGAACGTCAGATAGAGACTGGGCAGGTTACGTTGAAGTAGAACGTCAGGTATAGACTGGTCAGGTTACGTTGAAGTGGAACGTCAGGTAGACACTGGTCAGGTTACGTTGAAGTAGAACGTCAAGTAGACACTTGTCAGCTAACGTTGAAATAGAACGTCAGATTGAGACTGGGGAGGTTACGTTGAAGTAGAACGTCAGATAGAGACTGGGCAGGTTACGGTGAAGTAGAACGTCAGGTATAGAGTGGTCAGGCTACATTCAAGTGGAACGTCAAATAGACACTTGTCAGATTACATTGAAGTGGAACGTCAAGTAGACACTGGTTAGGTTACGTTGAAGTGGAACGTCAAGTAGACACTGGTCAGGTTACGTTGAAGTAGAACGTCAAGTAGACACTTGTCAGATTACATTGAAGTGGAACGTCAAGTAGACACTGGTTATGTTACGTTGAAGTGGAACGTCAAGTAGACACTGGTGAGGTTACGTTGAAGTAGAACGTCAAGTAGACACTTGTCAGCTTACGTTGAAGTAGAACGTCAGATAGAGACTGGGCAGGTTACATTGAAGTAGAACGTCAGGTATAGAGTGGTCAGGTTACGTTGAAGTAGAACGTCAGATAGAGACTGGGCAGGTTACGTTGAAGTAGAACGTGAGATAGAGACTGGGCAGGTTACGTTGAAGTAGAACGTCAGGTATAGACTGGTCAGGTTACGTTGAAGTAGAACGTCAAGTAGACACTTGTCAGCTTACGTTGAAGTAGAACGTCAGATACAGACTGAGCAGGTAACATTGAAGTAGAACGTCAGGTATAGACTGGTCAGGTTACGTTGAAGTAGAACGTCAGATAGAGACTGGGCAGGTTACGTTGAAGTAGAACGTCAGATAGAGACTGGGCAGGTTACGTTGAAGTAGAACGTCAGGTATAGACTGGTCAGGTTACGTTGAAGTAGAACGTCAAGTAGACACTTGTCAGCTTACGTTGAAGTAGAACGTCAGATACAGACTGAGCAGGTTACATTGAAGTAGAACGTCAGGTATAGACTGGTCAGGTTACGTTGAAGTGGAACGTCAGATAGAGACTGGGCAGGTTACGTTGAAGTAGAACGTCAGGTATAGACTGGTCAGGTTACGTTGAAGTAGAACGTCAAGTAGACACTTGTCAGCTTACGTTGAAGTAGAACGTCAGATACAGACTGAGCAGGTTACATTGAAGTAGAACGTCAGGTATAGACTGGTCAGGTTACGTTGAAGTAGAACGTCAGATAGAGACTGGGCAGGTTACGTTGAAGTAGAACGTCAGATAGAGACTGGGCAGGTTACGTTGAAGTAGAACGTCAGGTATAGACTGGTCAGGTTTCGTTGAAGTGGAACGTCAGGTAGACACTGGTCAGGTTACGTTGAAGTAGAACGTCAAGTAGACACTTGTCAGCTAACGTTGAAATAGAACGTCAGATAGAGACTGGGCAGGTTACGTTGAAGTAGAACGTCAGATAGAGACTGGGCAGGTTACGTTGAAGTAGAACGTCAGGTATAGACTGGTCAGGTTACGTTGAAGTGGAACGTCAGGTAGACACTGGTCAGGTTACGTTGAAGTAGAACGTCAAGTAGACACTTGTCAGCTAACGTTGAAATAGAACGTCAGATTGAGACTGGGGAGGTTACGTTGAAGTAGAACGTCAGATAGAGACTGGGCAGGTTACGGTGAAGTAGAACGTCAGGTATAGAGTGGTCAGGCTACATTCAAGTGGAACGTCAAATAGACACTTGTCAGATTACATTGAAGTGGAACGTCAAGTAGACACTGGTTAGGTTACGTTGAAGTGGAACGTCAAGTAGACACTGGTCAGGTTACGTTGAAGTAGAACGTCAAGTAGACACTTGTCAGATTACATTGAAGTGGAACGTCAAGTAGACACTGGTTATGTTACGTTGAAGTGGAACGTCAAGTAGACACTGGTGAGGTTACGTTGAAGTAGAACGTCAAGTAGACACTTGTCAGCTTACGTTGAAGTAGAACGTCAGATAGAGACTGGGCAGGTTACATTGAAGTAGAACGTCAGGTATAGAGTGGTCAGGTTACGTTGAAGTAGAACGTCAGATAGAGACTGGGCAGGTTACGTTGAAGTAGAACGTCAGATAGAGACTGGGCAGGTTACGTTGAAGTAGAACGTCAGGTATAGACTGGTCAGGTTACGTTGAAGTAGAACGTCAAGTAGACACTTGTCAGCTTACGTTGAAGTAGAACGTCAGATACAGACTGAGCAGGTTACATTGAAGTAGAACGTCAGGTATAGACTGGTCAGGTTACGTTGAAGTAGAACGTCAGATAGAGACTGGGCAGGTTACGTTGAAGTAGAACGTCAGATAGAGACTGGGCAGGTTACGTTGAAGTAGAACGTCAGGTATAGACTGGTCAGGTTACGTTGAAGTAGAACGTCAAGTAGACACTTGTCAGCTTACGTTGAAGTAGAACGTCAGATACAGACTGAGCAGGTTACGTTGAAGTAGAACGTCAGGTATAGACTGGTCAGGTTACGTTGAAGTAGAACGTCAGATAGAGACTGGGCAGGTTACGTTGAAGTAGAACGTCAGATATAGACTGGTCAGGTTACGTTGAAGTAGAACGTCAAGTAGACACTTGTCAGCTTACGTTGAAGTAGAACGTCAGATACAGACTGAGCAGGTTACATTGAAGTAGAACGTCAGGTATAGACTGGTCAGGTTACGTTGAAGTAGAACGTCAGATAGAGACTGGGCAGGTTACGTTGAAGTAGAACGTCAGATAGAGACTGGGCAGGTTACGTTGAAGTAGAACGTCAGGTATAGACTGGTCAGGTTACGTTGAAGTGGAACGTCAGGTAGACACTGGTCAGGTTACGTTGAAGTAGAACGTCAAGTAGACACTTGTCAGCTAACGTTGAAATAGAACGTCAGATAGAGACTGGGCATGTTACGTTGAAGTAGAACGTCAGATAGAGACTGGGCAGGTTACGTTGAAGTAGAACGTCAGGTATAGACTGGTCAGGTTACGTTGAAGTGGAACGTCAGGTAGACACTGGTCAGGTTACGTTGAAGTAGAACGTCAAGTAGACACTTGTCAGCTAACGTTGAAATAGAACGTCAGATTGAGACTGGGGAGGTTACGTTGAAGTAGAACGTCAGATAGAGACTGGGCAGGTTACGGTGAAGTAGAACGTCAGGTATAGAGTGGTCAGGTTACGTTGAAATAGAACGTCAAGTAGACACTTGTCAGGTTATTCTGAAGTAGAACGTCAGGAAGAGACTGGGCAGGTAACATTGAAGTTGAACGTCAAGTAGACACTTGTCAGCTTACGTTGAAGTAGAACGTCTGATAGAGACTGGGCAGGTTACGTTGAAGTAGAACGTCAGGTAGACACTTTTCAGCTTACGTTGAAGTAGAACGTCAGGTATAGACTGGTCAGGTTACGTTGAAGTGGAACGTCAGGTAGACACTGGTCAGGTTACGTTGAAGTAGAACGTCAAGTAGACACTTGTCAGCTAACGTTGAAATAGAACGTCAGATTGAGACTGGGGAGGTTACGTTGAAGTAGAACGTCAGATAGAGACTGGGCAGGTTACGGTGAAGTAGAACGTCAGGTATAGAGTGGTCAGGTTACGTTGAAGTAGAACGTCAAGTAGACACTTGTCAGGTTATTCTGAAGTAGAACGTCAGGAAGAGACTGGGCAGGTAACATTGAAGTTGAACGTCAAGTAGACACTTGTCAGCTTACGTTGAAGTAGAACGTCTGATAGAGACTGGGCAGGTTACGTTGAAGTAGAACGTCAGGTAGACACTTTTCAGCTTACGTTGAAGTAGAACGTCAGGTATAGACTGGTCAGGTTACATTGAAGTAGAACGTCAAGTAGACACTTGTCAGCTAACGTTGAAGTAGAACGTCAGATAGAGACTGGGCAGGTTACGTTGAAGTAGAACGTCAGGTATAGGCTGGTCAGGTTACGTTGAAGTAGAACGTCAAATAGACACTTGTCAGCTGACGTTGAAGTAGGGGGCTCGGGTGTTCCAGTCGTCTAAGGCGCCGCGATTCGCTGTGCAGAGTTGCGTCCCTTGTACACGCCAGAAACCTGTGATTGTGGGTTCGAATCCCGGTTCGCCCCGATTATATTTCTAGGTTTGTCAGCACCATACCCGTGCTCTTTTGTTTCACCGATGTGACCTGCATCACTTCGGGCTTACCTGCCACATTAAGCTGACACGCCGCGATATAACTGGAATACTGTTAAAAGCGGCGTTAAACCAAACTCACTCACTCTAGTTGAAGTAGAACGTCAAGTCCGCTCGCCACTTGTCAGCTTACGTTACAATACTTCGTCACGCAAAGACAATCTATGTTACAATATAGGAGGACGTCAAAGCCTGATCAGGTAACATTTAGTGTGTCATACAAAGACTATCAGACCTTAACGTTATGTTGAAAGTGATCAGATGACGGCGGAAGATCAATATTTACCTGTATCAGTATCAAAGCTGTAAGACTCTAACCAATACTTACTGATGCAGTTGTATGACGAAGCTGTAGGTTCACAGTACTCCTGGATGCCGCAAGTGTGGCCAGCACAGTTACCAGATAGTCTCTAAAGGACACAATGATGAATAAATAAACAGACAGAAAATAAGAATGCTTGAGACGTCTCCATGATTAGCGACCGCCTCCGTCATCTTGAGGTAGGGCGTCTGCCCGGAGAGCGGAAGGTCCGGACTTCGGAGGTCCGAAGGTGGTACCACTGTCTGGCGCTCGGCATTGGGGGGGCAAAAAGAATGACTGGCCGGCTCGGAGTCAGTGTACTGTGTCTGAGTGGGGTATTCATGTTAAACTGCGGCATAATATCTCAGTGGGCTAGCACTATAAAATCGGCATTAATCCGGACAAGCAGCCACACATGCACACACACGCCCGTCGCTATATAAGTGCAATAATCTTGGAGGCGACGTTCAAACCCATTTCACATCACCTGACCTCCGTGTTTTGCACATTTGCGCATTTGGAATAAGACATATCACATCACTGCCTCCTTTTCGGGGCAGCCTTCTGGTTAAAGTGTTGGGTCGTCACACCGCAGGCCTAGGTACGATTCCCCACGCAATGTTGCGTCCCTTGGGACCGCCAGGATCCTGTGATTGGGGCTTCGACTATTGCTTGGTATTGTTGGTTTATCAAATGCATTCTCAAGGGTTCCACCAAGTGGTAAACGTATTTCACCTGCATCATTGGGGCTTTTCTCCTATATGCAAGACGGCAGGGTAGCCTTGTGGTTAAAGCGTTCGCCTGTCTAACCTAAAGCCTGGATTTGGTTCCCCACTCGGGGAAAAATGTGAAACACATTTCTAGTGTCCCCGTCGTGAAATTGCTGAAAGCGTAGTAAAGCCACACTCACTCGCACACTACTATATACACGAGCCGTGACATACGGCCAAAATTCGGTGTTGCACAAAACACATCCACTCACACAAAAACAGACAAATGTCAGTTACTAACCCCCGGAAACATGTCGGCAGTGGCATGTATCCATCCAATTTCTGCGAGAGGTGGATTCGTTGATACAAGCAACAACTCACAATCTCCGGTATTGGTGTTGAAGTTGATACTGCTGCACGCATTTCTTCTGTTGCAGCGATCTCCGCAGTCCATCAATCCCGATGTTGGAAGGATGAGGTAGGGAGACAGCAACGCCTTTGTATCTATATTCATGCCGTTGTTGCTCAGGATAGTGTTGTCTGCGCATACTTTAGTGGTGGCGGTAACGACAGAATACCATAGCGACGTGATGACAATCACCTGCCGGAAGTTCAAGCAACGACTGAACTGGCTTCGTAGACTCTCCAACGACATCGCACCAGTGTCTGTAAAAGGGACGAGTTGTTAATTGGTAATAGACGAAATGGGTACTCTCATTTCATAACACGTTGACATGTCTCTGAGTATTACTTAACTTATCACCAGGTGTCAATCAAACTACATTGTTGACCAATCAGAAAGTCCGAAACCACGCAGCCAGATTGAGGCATCTAATCGCGAGCACTCAAAGTCAGCGATCTAACCCACTCAGCCACCGAGGCTTCCACTCCAAAAATCCAACGACTGGTAGTTTAGATCATGAACTTTGTGTACCCCCTCTGACATTTGTTAATTGGCACGGCTTCCATTGCCTAAAGCTGTGAGTGAGTGAGTGAGTGAGTGAGTGAGTGAGTGAGTGAGTGAGTGAGTGAGTGAACATTATTCCAGTTATATCACGGCGTCGAAAGCTTTGAACACACAATGCCATTTAGAAAGTGGTCAAATGTATCAAATGTTATGTTTGGGATAACACTTTCTTGGACGGGAGTCACCCCAAAAATGTACGAGAATCCGTACTTTACTAAGAAAGTGTTATCTGAAATATAACATTTCAAACAGGCTCTCCATTTTGTCCAAAAATATCCGCAAAATGGCATTGTATCATATTCATAAATATAACATATTGACAAGAAAACCTATATGTGGGTGACATATTCTTCAGCGTGAGATAGGAGTAGGGGTGGGACATTTCGTGATTGATACATTTGTCCTCACAGACGAATAAATTAGGGTAAATGTTATCTGGTTAAAAGTGGTGAGGTCATAAAGTTATAAGGTTAAGCTAATCTCCCCAAACAGTAAAGCGCATCTCATTATACAGAAAAGCGCATTTACAATTACAATTTTAAGCTCCTTTTGTGGCTATGCCAGTGTCATTTGTTGTTAGACGTATTTAATTCGTATGTTATGTCGGCTTGAAAGGGTGTTTGTGTGTTCAACAAGTTGACTCGCATAATCTCAAGCTTCCATCCCGTGAAAATGCCGGGTTAGAATTGGTCTTCAGCATCCCATGCTTGATGTAAAAGGCGACTATGCTTGTTCTAAGAGGCGACTAACGGGATCGGTTGGTCAGGCTGACTTGGTTGATGAATGTCACAGTATCCCAATTGGGTAGATCGTCTGGTCCAGACTCGATTATTTATAGACCGCCGTCATATGGCTGGAATATTGTTGAGGGCTGAGTTAAACAACAAACAAACAAACAAACAAACAACATCTTCCGGCTTCCTTCTCACATCAGGTTGTCAGGCCGTTGTACAACTGAAACACTGTTCAAAGCTTCGTTAATACGAGCAACATTTGTATACATGTTACGTTGTAAACTGGAAGATATGGAATACTAGACAGAGTCAACCGTCTGTCCTTTGAAAAAAAGATGTCGGAGACCTGAATGAAATTAAACAGAAATATCAAGTGTTTTTTTTCTTGCTGTGAAAAACGTTTGGTTTATGAAAACCGACACAGACAATAACGATATATCAACTATTTTTCAAAGCAACGAAGAAAGATTTGCTTTCATGTTGAGAACAGCTAACCACATAGCCATTGGTACTTTGGTACGACAATACGACAAGTCAGCGATCTAACCCACTCAGCCACCGAGGCTTCCACTCCAAAAATCCAACGACTGGTAGTTTAGATCATGAACTTTGTGTACCCCCTCTGACATTTGTAAATTGGCACGGCTCCCATTGCCTAAAGCTGTGAGTGAGTGAGTGAGTGAGTGAGTGAGTGAGTGAGTGAGTGAGTGAGTGAGTGAGTGAGTGAGTGAGTGAGTGAGTGAACATTATTCCAGTTATATCACGGCGTCGAAAGCTTTGAACACACAATGCCATTTAGAAAGTGGTCAAATGTATCAAATGTTATGTTTGGGATAACACTTTCTTGGACGGGAGTCACCCCAAAAATGTACGAGAATCCGTAGTTTACTAAGAAAGTGTTATCTGAAATATAACATTTCAAACAGGCTCTCCATTTTGTCCAAAAATATCCGCAAAATGGCATTGTATCATATTCAAAAATATAACATATTGACAAGAAAACCTATATGTGGGTGACATATTCTTCAGTGTGAGATAGGAGGAGGGGTGGGACATTTCGTGATTGATACATTTGTCCTCACAGGCGAATAAATTAGGGTAAATGTTATCTCGTTAAAGTGGTGAGGTCATAAAGTTTTAAGGTTAAGCTAATCTCCCCAAACAGTAAAGCGCATCTCATTATACAGAAAAGCGCATTTACAATTACAATTTTAAGCTCCTTTTGTGGCTATGCCAGTGTCATTTGTTGTTAGACGTATTTAATTCGTATGTTATGTCGGCTTGAAAGGGTGTTTGTGTGTTCAACAAGTTGACTCGCATAATCTCAAGCTTCCATCCCGTGAAAATGCCGGGTTAGAATTGGTCTTCAGCATCCCATGCTTGATGTAAAAGGCGACTATGCTTGTTCTAAGAGGCGACTAACGGGATCGGTTGGTCAGGCTGACTTGGTTGATGAATGTCACAGTATCCCAATTGGGTAGATCGTCTGGTCCAGACTCGATTATTTATAGACCGCCGTCATATGGCTGGAATATTGTTGAGGGCTGAGTTAAACAACAAACAAACAAACAAACAAACAAACAAACAACATCTTCCGGCTTCCTTCTCACATCAGGTTGTCAGGCCGTTGTACAACTGAAACACTGTTCAAAGCTTCGTTAATACGAGCAACATTTGTATACATGTTACGTTGTAAACTGGAAGATATGGAATACTAGACAGAGTCAACCGTCTGTCCTTTGAAAAAAAGATGTCGGAGACCTGAACGAAATTAAACAGAAATATCAAGTGTTTTTTTTCTTGCTGTGAAAAACGTTTGGTTTATGAAAACCGACACAGACAATAACGATATATCAACTATTTTTCAAAGCAATGAAGAAAGATTTGCTTTCATGTTGAGAACAGCTAACCACATAGCCATTGGTACTTTGGTACGACAATACGACAAGTCAGCGATCTAACCCACTCAGCCACCGAGGCTTCCACTCCAAAAATCCAACGACTGGTAGTTTAGATCATGAACTTTGTGTACCCCCTCTGACATTTGTAAATTGGCACGGCTCCCATTGCCTAAAGCTGTGAGTGAGTGAGTGAGTGAGTGAGTGAGTGAGTGAGTGAACATTATTCCAGTTATATCACGGCGTCGAAAGCTTTGAACACACAATGCCATTTAGAAAGTGGTCAAATGTATCAAATGTTATGTTTGGGATAACACTTTCTTGGACGGGAGTCACCCCAAAAATGTACGAGAATCCGTAGTTTACTAAGAAAGTGTTATCTGAAATATAACATTTCAAACAGGCTCTCCATTTTGTCCAAAAATATCCGCAAAATGGCATTGTATCATATTCAAAAATATAACATATTGACAAGAAAACCTATATGTGGGTGACATATTCTTCAGTGTGAGATAGGAGGAGGGGTGGGACATTTCGTGATTGATACATTTGTCCTCACAGGCGAATAAATTAGGGTAAATGTTATCTCGTTAAAGTGGTGAGGTCATAAAGTTTTAAGGTTAAGCTAATCTCCCCAAACAGTAAAGCGCATCTCATTATACAGAAAAGCGCATTTACAATTACAATTTTAAGCTCCTTTTGTGGCTATGCCAGTGTCATTCGTTGTTAGACGTATTTAATTCGTATGTTATGTCGGCTTGAAGGGGTGTTTGTGTGTTCAACAAGTTGACTCGCATTATCTCAAGCTTCCATCCCGTGAAAATGCCGGGTTAGAATTGGTCTTCAGCATCCCATGCTTGATGTAAAAGGCGACTATGCTTGTTCTAAGAGGCGACTAACGGGATCGGTTGATCAGGCTGACTTGGTTGATGAATGTCACAGTATCCCAATTGGGTAGATCGTCTGGTCCAGACTCGATTATTTACAAACCGCCGTCATATGGCTGGAATATTGTTGAGGGCTGAGTTAAACAACAAACAAACAAACAAACAAACAAACAAACAGACATGAGGTTGTCAGGCCGTTGTACAACTGAAACACTGTTCAAAGCTTCGTTAATACGAGCAACATTTGTATACATGTTACGTTGTAAACTGGAAGATATGGAATACTAGACAGAGTCAATCGTCTGTCCTTTGAAAAAAAGATGTCGGAGACCTGAATGAAATTAAACAGAAATATCAAGTGGTTTTTTTCTTGCTGTGAAAAACGTTTGGTTTATGAAAACCGACACAGACAATAACGATATATCAACTATTTTCAAAGTAACGAAGAAAGATTTGCTTTCATGTTGAGAACAGCTAACCACATGGTACTTTTGGTACTTTGGTACGAAAATACGACAACGTGACATTGACAAATGTAACGCCTTTTTACACATTTTCGATGGGGCAACCATTGAAAAATCCCGCGTGGTCGCATTGTCGCGATTCGATAAAACAAAAAAGATTATTTAAAGCGCGACAATGCGACAATGCGACAATACGACAACGCGACAATGCAACAAATGGTCAGAATGTCTTACTGTTTTAGGAAAGTCAATAATGCGAAAATGCAACAGCGCGACAATGTTCCTTCTTATATTCCATAGATATATGACCTGCTGTTGCTAACAGTTTAGGTTCGAAGTCGGGATTCTCAAGAATGTAACGTCCATTCGAGGAGGATGTATTGAAATAACCTTTTACCAATATGCACACGTTATACACATTGATTGATGATTGTAACTGATCTTTTATTTTGATCTTAACCAAAACCCATTAACAAATGTATGTTTAAGTTTTGTATTGTGTAATCACGTATCGTATCAAATATTAGATAGAGGTTGAAAATCAGCCATGGTGAGGAGAAAGTTAACGAAAGCTGAAAGATGGCAAGTGATAGGCATGAAAAATGCTGGCATGTCATGCAGGGCCATTGCAAGACAAATGGGTCGTCATCACAGTGTTATCACTCGTTTGATTGTCAAACATGGTCAAACCAATGATGTCAATGACAGACATAGGT